GGGATCAGTAACGCAAACACGTTACAATAGGATTACAGAATACTCCATCCCCATTCTTTTCTGCTTACAATTCATGTTAATTACCTCATGTCCATTTGAATCTGTATAACACCAGCAGAACCACCAACCAATTAGAAGGAGAAGTGGAGGAGATCAAGAGAGAGAACAGCAGAGCAACTCAGCTTACAAAGATATGGAAAGAAAGGTGAATAGAAATGGCTGCACATGACATATAATTTATTTTGTATGATATCCTGTTGTTGTGGACAAATGTACAGTACATGAATACATAAAACTTTGCATACAGATGCACAGTACTGTTCATCTTCCAGGTCTCTCATTTTCACAGCTCAGTACATACAATCAGGTTGTAGGTTGAAACAACAATAACAATGATGCAATCACACTTTCCGTCGGAAATGATCAGCCAATCCGAGTTTAGATGTCACTGGGGGCTCAGTTCCAGTTCTTAACACTGATTGGCTTATCAAAAATTGGTTGAAAGTTTCTATGATTGACTGAGTTTATCATATTTTAATTTTTCATTAGTACTGATTATTATGATATAAATGACTCCATAAAGATTTTTGTTCATACAGTGACAAATTAATTCATTTGTGGAAAAAAATCCTGGTGGCACAAATATATAGAAAAGGAAGGCTAATTAGATGTACTTAGTTGTGATATTTATTAGGTTCCTAATAGGCAATGTTTTCTTTTTTCTTTTTGTGGGATGATATCAAACTAGTACAACAATCCTAGTCACAAGTATGAGACAGCTAAATTCTTGGAGTATTTTGCATGTTCTGAGTGACTTAACACCTTAATGCTACACCCTAACCTCTCCACAGTCAACCCCAAAAAACTTCCCCATCTATGTGGTGAGGCTCTGTAGAATTGTTGAGCTAGATAAGTGTAAGGTTTTTGCAGAATCCAAATATTGACAATTTTAATTAGCCCTTTCTAAGCTAAGATTGATTTCAATCGAATGATGCCCTTCTGATTTGTACTTGTATGATACGTAATTTATAAATTCTGTCTGCAGCATAATTCATTTGAAGTGCTGAGAAATGGCAGCATAAGTTACATTTCATTGATAACAAAATTCAGTAGTAATCAACCAATTATGATTGTTCAATAGAATTCTAGAAGACTAAGAAGCTGTCACAGAATAAGATGTTTATAAGAATGTGCTACAGAGGGCTGGATGGATATTCCTTAGACCATTTTTGTATGTACATATATTTTTTTCAAACTGAAAAAGAAGATAATGCTACACACCAAGAAGCAGCAGTTGTATTCATGGCATGAAAAGTGTGAAGTAGCAGTAGACAAGTAACTTCTTTATTAGCATACTGACCAGATGTCCCTCACATCCACCTCAATGTTCAACATAATCCAGCTTAAATTTTTGTGTTTCAGTGGGCTATTTATTATCTACTGTGCAATGAAGTCCAAAACTCAGAAAGAACTTACATATGCTGTGTTGAGGACCATAATGTCACGTGGGCAATGGGATTGCATGGTTCAATTTGCACAGAGGCCTTTTCATAAGCAAGGTCATATATTTTGGCAAAGTCAAAAATGTGAATACAGCCTCAGGTTGAGTATGTATGTGTCTTTCATATCTTACAATGATGGCTGATCTTCAGTTTCCTATCCTATTATAGTGGATTGCTCTCACTGGTTTCATGATTACCAGTAACATATCAGAGACAATACCTACAATTATAATTTAGAAATCAAGGCTCTTGTTTGATTACACTTATGTAATAAGTTATAGAGCATAACTTATTTTTCTATATCAGCCTTCTGTATTCTTTAATAAGCTCTAAATTGTAAAGTACCTCCATGTGAAATCAACCATCATAACTCAGTTAGTAACATGAAAAATTACAGGCTACCAGGCTTGAAACTCCAGTTTCAGGTTCAGGATTGTTCTCTTCACTACTACTGTGTCCTAAATTGCTCTAGACCCCACCCATTCTTCTATTAAATACAAACTGGTGACTCGGTGAAGCTGGCTCTGCAGCCGAACCTAATACTAATTTATATTACACACAGAGCATTACATCCTAGCCCTTGTGTGCTTTCATGGCTTAGTACTTATGTAAGAGGACCTATCGTCATAATAGTAACATGTTTCTTGACCTGAAGACCATACTTTTATTCATACCATAGCTTAATATTTGATCTGTGTGAGAATAATCTCAGTTGTAAAACTATTCTGTGTAAGATGAGGATTAGAGTGGCACTATTTTACCACACCGACCTAAGCACAACAATGGATATTTCATGCACACTGCTAATGTCCTCAGGGACTCTCTGGACATGTGTTCTTTCTTCCTTCCTTATCTTAAAAGAATATATGTATGTTTAGTTTTGGAATTACTGATGCAAAAAAGCCTTAATATTGAGGGAGCTCATCCAATGTAGGAAGCAACCCTTAATGACCTTATGACCAGAACACTGGGCTCTACACCCTATGTTCGGAAACAGAGCAGGTTTCTTTTCAGGACAGATTACATGTTTGTTTGAGATTAATTCATGAAATAGACAAGCTGTGCAGGTCTCATGTGATGGTCATGCATATACAATCTTGCTCTAAATGTGCTGCTCCTTTCCCGAATGTGAACTTAAATTTGTGAGAAGAGTACTTCCTTCTGGAAGTCATGCTGTGTACTTTGGCAAAAGATTACTGACATTTAAGAGGGAAGATCTACCTCCAACTTCATGATCAAAGAGTATTTACTGTTTGCTTGGCTTATTGTTTGACCCTCTGAATGAATCAATGAATTAATGAATATGGGGTAGAACTTGACCAGTCCTTGCACTGCAACCATCATGATCTATAGCGCATCTCCCTATGTTTAACCTTTCAGCAATCTTACACTTCAAATGAAGTGTACTTAATACTTAGGGGGGCATCTTGGTAGTCACCTGGCTCCATAAAGTAGTGTCCCAGGTGGCAAAAGCTTAAGTAAGCTATAGCCTCGCAATAACATAGGGAATGTGCAGCTGATTATTTTTTTTTCCAGGAATATTTCACAAGTGGGATTACTGGTTATTTCCATTCTGAAAAGGTGTCCTTTCAGGTGACAACATCCTGTTAGTAGACCTGTTCCCCCCCCCCATAATTTGTTTCTGTTTAAAATTTCTTTAGTTCTTCTGGTAGAGAGTCCTTCTAGGAATCACTTTGCATGTCCTGTTACTCCCAGTATTTCTTGTGGCCTGTGTTTGTCCAGTCCCTGAGAGCTTTCTTGGTAGTCAGTCCCTGGTGAAATGCCACATGCTAGTTGAGATCCTATAAAAGGATGTTCAAGTCCCAATCTTGCCAGTTAATTGGCAGTGTAATTACCTTCCACACCCCTGTGACCATTTATTCGATATTGGATTTGAAAACTTTAACTAAGTGAGATGTTTGTTTAGTACGGGTGCTGGGAGAAATGAGACGAACATGGGTATTTGTGTGCTGAATGACTTTGTAAGTTCACATGATTATACTAATGTTATTGTGCTAAATGTTCCCCATAGACATGATCTTGCACCTAACTCATGTGTAAATTATGAAGTTGGAAGTATTTAATAGAAAACTAGGAAGACATCAACCTTGAAAAGGAAACAAGGATTTTTTATGGTAAATCCCCTGCTAGAATCTGTATTTTCTCCAAGTAGTGGATGATCTGATAAAACACAGTATTTGAGTATTTTACATCATAATGTACAAAGTCTGGGAAATAAACTATTGAAATTAAATGCATTGCTCAGGTCACTGGTATTAAAGCCAGATATTTTATGCTTTTCTGAACATTGGTTACACAAGGATAAAATTTTACATAGACATATTGAACCTTATAAAATGGCAGTTTCTGCAGGGACAAAGATAAGCATGTCTGTTCATGTATACTTATCTGTAATGAAATAAATGTTAGGAGAGTAACCTTTTTAAAGAATTTAGGAAAGGATAAAGAACTTGAAGCTTCTTGGTGGTGAGCTTCAAGCCTCTGCCAATTTGCCCCCAGGGAAAGAACCTTCAGTACATATTGGATAGGAGGCTGGGTGTGCCCAGAATCGGTTGGGAACACTCACGAGAAGAATTAACATTTTCACTAGATGTGTACAATGTATGCAGACAGTGGCTGCTCTGCCATTGGTTCTCTTACCGTTTCCCAAAGGCTCAAACTGCCTATACAAGGCCAGGTTTTCATACATGAGTGTATTATGTGTATCATGTATGTACTCATGTACTTGGCACTGGCTCCTACAGCTATATTCACCAATTTATGTTGCTTATGTTTACATGAAGTTAAGTAAACGTATATTACCTTTCCAATTAAGTTGACTAACATTTCAGTTTTGTTATGTTCTCAAAGAAAATTACAAAGAATGCTTATATTCTCTTTGTGATATCCAGCTCTCTGTCCACATGTAACAAAGCAAGAATCACTGAACAGATTTTAATTAAATTTTATATTTTGGAGCTTTATGAAACTTTGTTTACACACTCCAGATTTAGTTATAATCAGAAAACAATAACAGGCACGTTACATGGAGAACTACAGATGTTTCTATGCCTATCTTGAGCGTTACTTCCCGATGCCATTTACTGAAACAAAAAATGTTTAAACTGAAGTTGTACATTGAAATGAAACACACCTGGTATGTCCAGGTATACTCTTTTCTTCTTCTTCATAACATTAACAGTTTTCGAGATAGTGAGGAAAAATATGCAAAATATGCATACACGCGGTAGCGTAGTTGGTTGAGGCACTATGCTACAAGCAGGAAGGTCGTGGGTTAAAGTCCCGATGATGTCATTGGATTTTTTTCAATTGACCTAATCCTTCCAGCTGCACTATGGCCCTGGGGTCGACTCAGCCTCTAACAGAAACGAGTGCCAGGAACATTCTTGGGGTAAAGGGTGGCCGGTGCGTAAGGCTGACAACCTTGCCGCCATCTATGAGCTGATTGTCTAGAAAATGTGGGAACCTCAACTTCTCACAACCCTATGGGCCTTCACGGCCTGTTACAGGGATACCTTTACTCTACTTTACACTATGCATACATTTCCTAACTGATGTAGCATTGTTAAGTGATGGGACACTAAGACATTTTGTTACTGGTTAAGAGGGATTACAGAAATTAAGTCAGTGCAGCAAAGTACTCATTAAGGAGCTGATACTCACTTATTTGATGATGATGCTTGTGATTATAAATAGTAGTAGTAGTAGTAGTAGTAGTAATAATAATAATAATAATAATAATAATAGGATAAGGAGTGGAAGAGGGGAGGGGAGGAGAGGGGGAAGCATGACCTACAAATCTGATAAAAAATAATTTTGCTTCCAAGTCAGAAGACCTCAAAAGACTGAATTGCCACTGCTTCCTCTTTGTGGAAGAAACTAAAGCAAGAAATTAGTGATACATGTCTTACGGTAGCAGCGCTGGTTCATAAGTTATTGCATGGTAGAGAGGAAAACATACTGTTGCCTTGTGATGTTAGCAAGTAATAAAATAATTAAATTGCAAATTAGAGGTTAAGATGAAACTAAGTTATTTTTCATAATGTACAACATTTTCTTCCTCTAATAATATTATGACTACCATCCCTGAAGTGTTATGACAAAATAAACATTGAAAAGTTTGATTAATGAGGAGCTAGTCACATCATATACAGGTAATTCTGTTTCTGATTTATGGCTGTTTGTTTTACATGCAAATACGCCTTTCTTCATGCTGAGAACGATGATATTCAAAAAAAGAGTTCTGAATGCATGTGGAGATGAGGGCAGGCGGAAAGTTGGTGATTGCAACCATTTCTGACACAGGTCACAAAGATGTCATTGTCCAATCAGTGGGACAAAACAGAGATAGAATTTGATGTTGAAATGTTTTTCCCGGTCTGAGCATTTGTAGGCTCATATTAGTCCTACCAAAATGCAAAAAGAACACCACAATATCAAGCTGCATGTAAGTCTTTGTTCTCACAGCTACAGCAGACCAACAAAATATTATCTTCTAATACATCAAATTCCTCATTGATTATGTTGACATATATTGGAACTATGTTCAATGAATGCCTTTTAGATGAAGTTTGTCAGATCTTCATATATAAAAACTTGTCGTTAGGCATACAGTCATAGCTCCCAAAGGACATAACATTTGTATTCTGATGTCATATGTGTCAGCTTTGTCTTTATTTTTGTAAGAAGTATTTTCTTTCAGCATAGGATCTGCTGTGGTACGTTGTGATAAAATTACAATACACTAGCACTGTTTATTTTCATGTGTAAGAAATAACAAAAGTTCACCCTTTTTTTCCTTGATATGAAATGATAACCCTGACACAAACCATGCTGAAGTCAAGGACCTTACAGTGACAGAACACGCTCTTTAGTCAATTAAAACATCATAGAAAGTATGTGTTTTGCTTAAGTCACCATGAGAAAGTTGCTTTCCCATTTGAGATTCTGACAAGCCATCTCAACCACTGAGTTACTGATCACGGTGTGATGGTAAATTAAAGTGATGTGATGACTGTTTTGAGATGCTGTCTCCCTCCACCAAACAGTTACTTTTCATCAATGTAGCACCAAACACAATTCAATGAGGGGTGCACAAGCGGAAGCGTATGTTTCACACAAAGCATTATAGCACAGTCTCGTTGGTGCAGGTCCGAGGGCCATTGACAAGGGAGTATCTGGAGCTACCCCCGTTCTTGCGAGCAGTGACAGTCCCGCGCACAAAGAGCTCCTTGAAAGTCTCTCTGAACTGTCGAGACATGCCACAGTAGATTGCAAAGTTGATGGGGTAGCTAACGATAATGAAGAAATTGGTGAAAAGGATGAGCACATTAGCAATGGAATAATCCAGGATCTCTGTGACGCTGCTCGAGATTATGTGAAGCACAGTGACAACAGCAAGTGGGATTTCCACTAGGAGGAAGACTGTCACCACGACAATGAGCATGAGGGTTGTGCAGTTTGAGTCCCGGAGTCGCTTGCACTCGTTCTTGCGGTTCTCCTTGAACAGTTTCTCGCGCTTGATTTGTGCCTCTCGCATGGCACGGAAGAGCAGAACATTCAGCACAACCAGCGACACGCAGGGCACAGCGTGCACGAACACCACGCGGAAGCAGTAGTATAGTGTGAAGTACACGTCAAGGTTGATGTAGATAACCCAGTCAGCCCAGTTGTGTTGGCACACCGTCACTTTCTCATCGCCGTCCCACAGCACTTCCAGTGGTTCGTAGACCCGGTCCACGAAGCGGGTGGACTGATGCAACATGGCCAGCAGAGCAATAATGCCCACACATTTCAGCACCCGGGGCATAGTACACCAAGTGCGTGCCATCGGTGCATGACACACATATATGTACCTGAAACACGGACCACATGTAACTATATAACATTCTCTCATTTCAACTGATATCTGAACCTTCGTGTGGTACACCATCAATTCAATTGCTGTTGAGGAAAAATCAAAGTGACATTTAGTTTTAAGTTATATATTTTATTTTTGAACTTTATGTTTCTCTTTGAGTTGTGTTAAAGTTAACATCGCCTAACCAGCGCAACCCATGGACTATCACGATATTTCATATTATGCTGACAGCACATTTGCATTCAAGGTACCTTGACTAGCAGCAAGTGATGCGCTGTTTCAGTGTGGTAAGCAAATAAGAGAGACCGAAAATTTGCTATGTAAGTTTCTTACATTCTGTTGTAATTCTGGGCTTATTGCTCTACCTTATGATCTCAGAAAATAAGCAAATATTTTTCGTCATACAAAAGGCAGAAGTGTGTTTTCTGATAATTTACTGCAGTGGCGTAATTATTATAATACCATCAACACAACTGTCTTGTATTAATAGTATTTTTATTCATACTCACTACCTGTTTCGACCCTATTTCTGGGTCCTCATCAGGAAGTATATACACTTGAACATAAACCATCACAATCGTCACGTCATACATTTCACTTGAATGTGGGTTCCATGTTCGTAAGCATTATCCAGCTGTACACCCATCATCATAAGAGTTTGATATGGGGAGGCGCAATTCCAAGAAACTAAACAAGGTAGAAATGTGCTTGAGGGAGGGTGAAAACGGTAGTGGCTCGTTCTGAATGAAAGTGCTGATTTATTTAATTTATTATATTTCCAAATGTTATGCCCCAAGGGTTATGTACAAGTAGATATGTTTTTTTGGGTAATTTGGAATAAGGGTATCTAGACTTTAAGTTAAGAAATATAAATAATGAAATGTACCAGGAAGCTTGGGTTTGCAAAGAAGTGTAACAGGCAATAGCTTCGTAATCAGAATATTAGCGTGACAGCGTAATAAGGCTGACATTGAGGAAGAGGCTATATGAAGTGGGACATAAAGAACTAGGCCATGGGAAAATTGCTGAGTCGGAGAGGGTGGTAGACCTGAAAGAGCCAACCCCCTTTCGATAAACAGCCAATGAGTGGGCCACACCGACCCAAATTCACACGTCAGGATGGGCGGGCGAATACACCCCCGGAACCCAGCAAGTCAGCAAAGAGAGGGTACATAAACTCTAGAGGAATCGATCAGAAAAAAATTATTATTATTAATTGTCATTAGTGTGCGGCCGGAGGCTACCGCCGAGAGAAAGATGGCGATGAGTAGATATTGGTTGATGGCGTGCGCCTGTCTCATGAGCTCAAGTAAGTAGACTTACTTCATATAAGCCATGGACATTAAGTGTGATAATATTAAAGTGCAAACCCCAAGGGAAAGAAAGTGAAAACTAGATGAACTAGGTTTTAGAGAAAGAAAGACAGAAGTATAGGATACCCAATAGCAGGGTGACAGGAGTAGAACTAAGGTGCACTACAGGATAATAACCCACATGTAACGCGAGCCGGCAACGTCGGCAAATTGTGTATATATTATGTTTATAGCGACATAGGTGAATAGAGTAGGATAGAAAGCGCTGTGATGTTAATTGAACTTAGCCTTCCCTCAAGTGTTACCATCCTCCCTGAATGCTCCTGCATCTCCCGAATCCTTTAGGAGAATTGCAAACTCAAGCCAAGGCGGCAGCTACGTCAGTGATTGTAAATTTACTTGAGCTCCCCTTACAGCATAACAAGATGGTGGCAGCACGACGCCTTGGTTGCAGCGGCGGGATACCTCCACGCCCTTCTGTCACCACGGCATAATAACTGGTGGCACCGGTGGGNAGCCAACGAATGGTTGGCTGAAGTAGTGAATTAATATTGTGTTTACCCACCCCTGCCATCGCGGCGTAATAAAAATGGGTGACAGCGGTGAGATATCCAATCCACCCCTGTCGCAGAAGAATAATACCAGAATTTAGTTTTTATTGATTTATTGCAATGTGACGTTTGGAAATTTCCGAAGCTTTCATTTTCTTGAAAATGTTAATAGTTTCGCGAAATTTCCATGTTCGTACTACTTTTCAATTCTCAAAAACATACCTGCGTGTTTGACATTTTCCTTCTTTCCTGGACGTCGTCACTTTTCAGATGTTTATATTTTTCGAAATTTTCTTTCAAACACTGATAGATTTTTTCATGTTTTCCAAAATACTGAGAGTAATTTAAACTTTCAATAGCTACGTATTTTCATTTTTTCCCCATTTTATTAAATCATTCCTTAAACGGAATATGCAATATTCAGCAAACGCTGATTTTTTGTGGAAATTCTGAAATTTTTCCGAAGATGATATTTTAGATTATTTCTCTGACCACTTTAAGGTTTACCAGTCTAGGATTAAGTTTGTAAAGGATCAGAATGGTGGTCTGCTTGCAGACTCCCACAGCATTGTGAACATATGGAAGAATTATTTCTTCCGTCTGTTGAATATACTTAGATTCAGGCAGATGGAAATACACAGAGTTGAACGAGTTGAGGTTTAAATTAGTATAGCAAAGTTGGAAAAGTATAATTCGCTAGGTTCCGCTGATATTCCGGCAGAACTGATTCAAACAGGAGGTCGAATGTTACGTTCTGAGATTCATAGACTGATTATTTCTATTTGTAATGTGAAAGAACTGCCCGAGCACAGAAAGGAGCCTATTATCGTACCAGTTTATAAGAGAGGAGGTAAAACTGACAGTAATGATTACCGAGGATTATTACTCTTATCAAGTTGATAATTTGTTTCAATATATTTATCTCAAGGTTAAGTCGATAAGTAGATGAATTTATTAGGGATCACTAGTGTGGGCTTCGGCATAAGAGGCCAACTCATTCGACAGATAACACAGAAATAATGGGAGTACATTGAGACAGTATATCAACTATTCGTAGGTTTCAAGAAAGGTTATGATTCAGTTAGGAGTGAAGTATTGTACAGTATTCACACTCAGTTCGGAGGACTCATGAAACTAGTTAAGCTTATTAAAATGTATTTAAATGAAAGCTATAATAAAGTACGTACATGTAAAGATTTGTCTGATTAAGCTTCCTACAGAAAATGGTCTAAAACAAACAGATGCTTTTTCGTCTTTTCTTATAAACTTTTGTTTAGAATACGTGCCTGAAGGTCCAGGAGCACCATGTGGGACTGAAATTAAATGGGCCACATCAAGCTCTGCTCTGTACTGATGTTGTTAATCTGTTGGTAGATATAATAAAGAAAACGGCAGAAGGTTTAACTGACGCTAGTGAGGAAGTTAGTCAGGGAGGAAACAGAGAAAACTAACAATTTCTTTATTACAACCATCACAACACAACTATATTAAGGTCAGTGCCTGAAATTCGAAGGAAAAAAGATTTTTCGCCAGTTTTCAAATTACTGTATCTCTTTAATTATGAGTTGGATACCATTATTACAGTGGTTCTTAAACTTTTACTTCTGAGCCCCCCCTTTACAAGAAAAAATACTCTCAGGCCCCCAGCCTGTTCTTTATCAAAATATAAGTCATGGTATATTTGACGTTTTATTCAGTTTATTTTGTGTTTTTCTACATACTATTTAGCAGTTTTTTACTCAAAATTAAAGTATCACAACATTAGGCCTACAATGAAAATTAGTTTTAACACTTGAAATTAACCAAAATATGTATTGAAATGAAACGATATTTAACTAATAAGTATTTAATTTTTTCTGCAAAGAAAATCAAACATTTAAATGTCAAAGTTCATTGTGATGGATGGGCCTGCTTTTGAGAATAAAGTTTATCAAAACGTGGTGGAATATCAGAAATGGCCACTCTAACTTCGTTAGCAATATTTAGCCTTAAACGATACTTTGATTTTATAGCTGCCAAAGCAGAAAAGCCTATCTCGCATAAGTAAGTGGTTGCGAAAGGAATCAGGATCTTCAATGCTTTTGGGCTCAAAGTTGGGAATTCCTTGCCAATATGTATCCAGAACTCCAGCAAAGACAATTCCTTAAATTTACTTTGTAATGAAGTATCACTAGTGAGATCGATGAGTTGTTCTTGCTCATTTACATTCAGAGATGATGCCCAGGAGCGTTTTCGAATGGAGTTTAAATCCAATTAAATTCATCAAAATCAT